GGGGTTCCTTCTGTATGGGACATGACCCTTCTCTCTAGCTGCCTTTAAGATTTTTTCTTTTGTAATGACCTTGGTGAATCTGTGTATATTCTTTGGGGATGGTCATCTCATATAGTATCTAGCTGGAGTTCTCTATATATTTTGAATGTGCATGTCAACCTCTTTCATGAGATTAGGAAAACTTTCATGAACTATATTATCATGTATTTTACAAGTTGTTTATTCTCTCTTTTCTCTCAGGAATGCCAATGAGTTTCAGATTTGTTCTTTTTATATAATCTCATATTTCTTAGAGTTTTTGTTTAATTTTTTGAAAATTCTTTTTTCTTTATTTTTGTTTGACTGAGTTGATTCAAAGAACCAGTCTTTGAGTTATTTCCTCAGGCTGGTCTATTTTGCTGTTAATACTTCAATTGTATTATGAAATCCTTACAGTGAAATTTTTCAAGCGTAGAAGTTCAATTTGAATCTTTCTTAAAATGGCTATTTTATCTTGAACCCTTGGATCATTTTCCTGGATTTCTTGGATTGAGTTTCAACTTTCTATTGAATTTTGATGAGTTTTTTTGACATCCATATTCTGAATTCTATGTCTATCATTTCAGTCATTTTATACTGTTAAGAATCATTGCTGGGAGCTAGTGGACTCATTTGAGGTAAGGGGACACTCTGGCTTTTAAATTGCCAGAGTTCTTGGGCTGATTTTTTATTATCTGGAAGGGTTGGTGCTCTTTTAACTGTGGTGTAAGTGGAGTATAGTCACTTGGCTTTATATCTGGATGATTTCAAAGGACCACGGCTCTGTATAGCATCTTTATTTTTGGCTTTTTTGTTTGTTTGTTTCTTTGTTTCATAGAGTGTTATATTAGCAAAATGCTTTTGGTGTTGCAGTTTGGGCTATGATCCAGTAGATGGCACATAAGAATAATGGGTGCTGGGCCCTCACTCAGCCACAGGGCTCCTTTGTATTTACTCAAGTTTGTAGCCATGCTCTATCATATGGTTGGGAGCAAGATCACCTCCCCTCATTAGTTTTGCTCCTACACCTTAGAGGAGCCTCCTTTAATCACTGGCACTGTGTCTACATTTCTTTTGTTAGGTGTTCCATGATGTGGGGCTCCCTGAACAGAGGCTAAGGCAAGGAGATAGGCCACATTATTTCCAGGCTGGTCCTGTGGAGGGCGGCATGCCTTGTTTCTGTTCCAGCCCATAAAATCACACATCTCATCCTTCTCAGCGCTCTGAGAGTGTGCAGGTTTCTTTCCCACTTGAGTGCTGGCCACAGATCTTGGCTCAGCACTCTTGAGTTGCACACTGCAGCCTTGGGCACCAGGATCAGCTAGTAACTCTGTCCTTTGGACCCTCGGAATTAGGTTCCAGGTCTGCTAGGGGAATCTAAAGTGCTCCCAGGTCATCAGGAACATAATCAGGTAGAACAAAGCATCCAGCTATGCAGTGGAGGCTGCTGTGTACATGCTCCTGCAGAGCAGCCAGGCAGAGTGGGCAGGAGGGCCTGCAGAACAGATGTGCTCCAGTTCTGTGGGAAAGTTGGACACATTTTCTTCTGGCCAGGCAGTAGGCTGAGGCTAAAACTTCTTGGAGGGTTCCTATAGCTAGGTTCCACCAGAGATATGCCATGCACTAAGGCCCTTATTTCTGCACTGGCTGAAGTACCATCTCTGTCTACTCTCTAGATAGATTCCTCTGTCAGCTCAAACGTCCGTGGGGTATGTCGGCCCCACTGTAGCCAGGAACCCAGAAGTACACAGCAAGGGTGGGTAGTCCCATAGTTCCTTACTCACCCATTCACCAGCCCCAATTCAGGGGTGGGAGCTAGCCCCAGTGTTTGGATACCCTGAACAGGGTTACCGGCCTCCTCCCTCCTCAGTCTCAGCATCTGCGTTGCCATCTGCTCTTGGCATTTTCTCTCCAAAGATCTGTTCAAATGCTGGTTTACCTGAAACCTTGATCTCTGTCTGGCATTTCTTGGCTATGTCATTGGCCATCTTGTTCACATTTTGTTCTACTGTTGTCCTGAAACTTACTAAATTTTGGACACAGGATCCTGTATTTTTATTTTGCACCCTACTCCTCTCCCAATCCTCTCCATCTATGTAATTACTCTTAACTGTTTGTTACTTCAAGAAATTCTCTATGTAGGTAAACATGTTTGTATGTATGCACTGGTTTTTACATCAATGGGATTATTCTAGATATAGTCTATAATTGCTTTGCCTCCTCAATTACGCATGTTGGAATTTTCCCATTAAACAGCCTCTGCCTCCCTAGCATCTATTTTTGTTTCCCCTAGAGAGTCTCCATAGTACTGGAGAGTATCCATACTACTGGAGACTCTCTAGGGGAAATAAAATAAAATATAAAAGGGATGAACTTTCTAATTCTGGTTGTGCCACTTCTCTGTTAAAAATGGATAATGTTTCCCTTTTGCATATAGAATAAATTAGCATCTTGATAAATAAATCAGACTATGTAGTCCTGCGGGCAGTGTGCTGGCAAATTTGAGTTTCTGAGCATGCAAGTTCTTAAGGAACTTGCAATACTCTCTCTCATTAACAAGTATGAAAAATGATCTTTTTTTAACCACTACTTTGTAGGGTTACTAATAATCAGCCTAGAAATTAGTAAAAATAATGCAGTGGGCTGAACATTTATGTTTTCTCCAAATTGATATGTTGAAACTCTCATCTCCAATGTAATGCTATTAGGAGGTAGGGGTCTTTGGGAGGTAATTGTGTTTAGATAAGGTCATAACAGTAGAGGCTTCAGGATGGGATTCATTTCCTTATAAGAGTCAGAGACTGAAACACTTTTTCTTTCATTGCTGTGTGATGACAAAGCCAGAAGGCAGCCAACAGAAGCCAGGAAGAGGGCTATCCCAAGATTCTGACCATGCTGGCACCCTGATCGAGGACTCCATAACCTCCAGAACTGCGAGAAATAAGTGTCTGTTGTTTAAGCCACCCAGTCTATGGTATGTTATTAAAGCAGCTTGAGCTAAGACAGACAGGGAAGAGGCCCTTTCGCTTTTTACAAAGTTGATCAATCTACCACAGAGGGTTATTTTACAGATGAAGAAAATGAGCCTGAGAAACAAGACATGTCATGTCCAAAGCCGCAGAATTTAGTGATGAAATTAAATGAACATCTACTGCTTTTCAGGTTAATAGACTGTGACAGCTTCTTGGAATTTTTGTGAACACTCTAAATTCTGAGGTCAGAATGGTATTCCGAGTTTAGAGAAGTCTGGCTGTGTGGCAGCAGCTATTGCCATTGCTCCTAGTGCAACATTTATAGTATATGGAGGCTGGATTATCCAAGTTGATGGTTTAAAATGCCTGTGGAGGGCCCGGTGCAGTGGTTTACGCCTGTAATCCCAGCACTTTGGGAGGGCGAGGCGTGTTGATCATGAGGTCAGTAGTTTGAGACCAGCCTGGCCAACATAATGAAACCCTGCCTCTACTAAAAATACAAAAAATTAGCTGGGCGTGGTGAGGGGGGCACCTGTAATCCCAGCTACTTGGGAGGCTGAGGCAAGAGAATCGCTTTAACCCAGGAGGTGGAGGTTGCTGTGAGCTGAGATAGCGCTATTGCACTCCAGCCCAGGCGACAGAGCAAGATTCCACCTCAAAATATATATACATATATATATGCCTGTGGAGTAGCCACTCCCATACATGTATGATCATCAGTGAATTAATCTCTCTGAGCTTTAATTATCTTAAGCAGAAAAAAGACATGATAATATCTACCTTAGCTATGATTAGGAATAAATACAATTTTATTCATTTACTCAACAAATATTTATTAAGTTACTATTCTGTGTCAAAAATTGTGCTCAACAATGAGATTAGGGCAGTGGATTAAACACATTCCCTGCCCTCATGAAGCTTACGATCTGGTGGGATTTAAAGTGTAAGAAAGCACAGTTTCGTACACAAAGTCAATGCTCAATTAACACTGAAATATAAGTTTCTAAATGATTTTCTTCTTTTTTTAAAAATAACTAACACTGCTGATTGATCTTTAGAGATATTCTCAATTATGAAAATCTGAACGTTTATATAGAAATCACCATGAAGATGTCCATCTTCCGCCCTGCCCCTTACCTCCTGTTACTCTTCTTTAACCATTTGCTAGTAGGAAACTGGCATAACTTCTGCCTAGTGCTTTTTTTCTGTGTGTATTAAAGAGCTTTGTGAAAATCAGTTTTTGAAATATCTTGCTCATGTGTGAGAGCTAACAAACAGTGTATAAGGAAACATCCATCTAATAAAAAGCACTCTGAAAATCGGGTTAAGGATTACTTACTTGATGTTAACCAAGCATTTCGGTCTATGTGCCCATTTTGCATATCTGAGAGTTCTGCCAGATTCTACCTAGTCAGAGCATGCCTAGCAAGAAGACACTGCATGTCCCAGAAATAAGCTTAGAAGCCTCACTAAAGGAAAAATCAGCCTGGTGAGGTCCATGTGAGACCTGCCCAGGAATGTGAAAGAAGATCAGTAAGGTTAGTGTGTATAAACAATGCCATGCACTTGGAAAGCTCTAGAAGTGAGTCTTGCATGCAGGACCTCTTGATTTCCTGTGCTGAGCTGCAGATGTCTGTTTTCACAGCAGTGCCTGCCAGAGCTGCAGTTGACAAGGCCAGCTGCTCTCAACTGCCAACTGTCAGTTGACGTGGCAAGCTCCTACCAATTTGTGCTGAGAAAACAGCATGGAATCGGGTCAGCATAGGACACAACTTTAATATCCTCCATCTGTCAAATAGACTTACTTGGAGAAAACTGAACATTTGGAGCAGGAATTGTTGAGGCTATTCTATGATAACATCTATACATGATTCAAAAAACCAAACTGTATTCAGTTAGTCTTCCTCTGCTGTGAGACAGCAGGAATTGGCCAAGTAGATACAACTGTATGACTTTAAGTACTTCAGGTGGCATACATTAAAGGTTTCCCCCTCTAGATCCAGAACCTACCTTCCTTCCTCCCAGGCACTGCTGGAGTTGAGGCTTAGTGAGGACACCATATTGGCAGTTGTGAGGCTGCCAGGTTATTTCTCTCCAGTCACACGTCCTGTTGTCTGAACAGCTAAGGCAAGGCACAATCCACTGGCCTAGAATAGATGGCAAAAGCTTTTTTGGTTCTGTTTCTACTGGTGAAATTATATTTTGCATGTAACTTTAAAATGCAGCTATGGCACACCATTACAGAAATTATAGTAAGACCATCCTTATCATTTAAATCTAGTGGAACAATGTAGGTCTGGCTTCCTGCCAATCAAATAGAATAGCAATATTAAGTAATGATCTGGAATAGCACATTTCATGCAGAAATCAAGTATGAGCTCTGTTCCATGAAACCATATACTTATTAAAAATCTAAGTACTACTCAATCATTACCTTATTTTTAAACAGTACATTGGGCACGTCAGTAGGACAAAAGCATTAATAGAAAGGGAGCCCCCCCAAATTGGCATTTGGTCTCAAATATCTATTAGCCTAACACATGCATAGGTTCTAAGTTCAATCATATAATACATGTATTTCCTGCTCTCAAGAGATTTGAGACACAAGAGAACTACTTCAGTATGCTGATAATTTATTATTTTGAAGATTAGTGTTCTTCGAATTGATTGATGGCATTTTTGGTGTGAATCTCTTCACCTCTAACTGTTACCTGGATTTCTTCATCTGTTAGATGAGGTGTGTACTGTTCTCCTCACATGATTTGTATAAGGACGTAATGGAATAATGTATTTAAGGCACATTTGCAATCTTGTATTCATCTTTTGTTACTAACAGAGTTCTGACAGAAAGTAGGTCCAAAGTGTTAGCAAATGTTATAAAAATAAATATTCTCTATGCATTTAAGGTCTGTCCTGTTTTATTAATAAAATAATATTCATGAAAAACACTTTAGCTTTTAGTGTTGAGTAGATACATTAACAATGTGGTAGAAAAATGTTTTTAAAAATTTTTGTTTTTTTCTTGTTCATCTTTTCAGAAATTGAGTGTGAACATAGCACATCATATAAACAAATATGGAGTGGTTATTTCTCTCCCTGTTAGAGAACACATACAATGACATCACTGACAATCACTCCCTTTATCCTAAATGTCTTGCTTATGTTACTAGTATAGGTTTACCCTTCAAAATATTGAGGAGCTAAATATCGCCCAGATAGTTATTGAGTTAGAAAGGAAAAAAAATTAAAAACGTTTTCCATTCTGGCTCTGATTGGTTGTACTGCTAATAAAGGTATCTGGTATTATATGAATTTTAGTGGAAAGGATTTCTATTTTTAGAAGATGAATATAGTGCATTTTATATTTATGACTTTAGGGATATTAGAATTGTGAATGTGTTTGTGTGTGGAAATAGTTATAAATAATAAAATATGAAAGGAGATATAGTTTATGACTCTTACTGATTGCCCACAGAAAGAGAAAGAAGTGTAGGTATATTAAGAGAGAGAAACTGGAAGACATAGAAAATAGGAGGGAAAGGAGATGAGAAAATTATGAACTCCAGAAAAGGCAAGAAATATACAATAACTTCGAGGGGTATCAGTTAACTGGAAGACATTGTACCTTCAAAAGTAAAGCAGACTCATTTGTTCTTTTTACCATATTTTTTTCCTTTTCTTTGAGTTTTACATGTAATGAGAATTCCAGAAAACTGCCTTATTAAATGTCTATTACTAATTACTTTCTACACAATTTCAGGAATGATAAATTAACCTTTTTGTCTCCATATACATATGACTGTTTAAAAGGATTTAAGTTTAATATATTAAGTACTCTATTGAAGTGTTAGGTGTTATTGGTTTTAAAATATCCTAATATATTTTTTAAATAGTTAACATTTTCCAATACTTCCCAGATGCTAGGAGTAGTCTAAAAACTTTAATACATCAACATATTTAAACATCAACAATCCTATTTTCATCTCCTTAACCAGGGCTCAGAAACTTCTCTGAGATCCTCTAGTTAGTAGGTGGCAGAGCTAGGATTTGAGCAGGCAGTCAGTTCCAGAGTCCATGCTCTTAACTATAATGCTAAACTCAAAAATTTATAATCAGGTTAGAAGGTTATAATTTATATGTAATATGGAATAATCATAGAATAATAACCACACATAATGGAGTAAAAATATCTGTGTGGTAATGAAAGAGTTCGGGCTTTGGAGATCATGCACACCTGAGTTCTATCTCCAGCTAGCCTGGCAGACCTCAGCATTGACTACCTATTAGAGTTACTTGGAAAGCTTTTAAAAATTCCCCCACCTAGATTGTACCCCAGAATGATTGAACCAGAATCAATGGGGATGGAGCTCAGGCATCAGTATTTTTTTAATGCTTCTTTGGTGATTCCAGTATGCTGCCAGGGATGAAACCCACTATTTAAATTGTTCAAATTACTTAACATTTTCATGATTAAATTTAGTTCTCTATAAGAGAAATATGTATAACACCTGCCATAGTGCCTAATACCTAAGAGTCAGCATATATATTTTAGGTATTTTCCCGTCTCTACTCTCAGAAAGTCACAATTGTTCAAAATAGAGAAAGAGTCATGGAGGTCAGAGTTTGAAAGGGTCCATGAAGCAGATAAAATGTGAACAGGTCTTTAAGGACAGATAAGATTTGGAGAGGTGGAAGGAATGGCATTTTAGGTACAGTGAAGAGATGGGCCTGACAGGAGTGAGACTGAAGAACTACTGCATATATTGGAGAAAGAGAGGGTCTGACATATGAAAGATGTTTCTGAAGTTTCTGGTTGTAGAGAACGGCAGTACTACTAAAAGAAACAACACAGAAAATTAAGAAGAGATGCTGGTTTTTGAATGGCAAAATAAAGATTATCCTCCTCAAAAGTGCTTATTTTTCCATTCAATTCTCTTTTATAATTTTTTTCATTCAGAATATATCTTGCTTTCTCATTCTAATTTTGTTCTGGCAAGCATGGTTTGTCATTAATAATTAAGCTCCTTCACATCTTTGATGTAGACACAGCCTAAAGTTTAATCTCTGCTGATGAATTTCTCAAGCAAACCTGCTTAGATAAATGATAGAGAGGTTCACATTGAGTGGCTGTGTAGCATCTCACTGGATGGAGTTAGAGGAGGCCTTAGAGTAGGTCCTTTCTCCCTCCCCTCCCACTCACCTCTTTTTTTTTTTTTTTTAACAGAAGAGGCAATCTGAGGCCCAAAGAGTTAAATAACAGAAGTGGGGTCATGCTGTTAATGACAGGGCAGGCCCAGAACTGAGGTCTCTAAGTCTTCAATTTGCCTATCCTTTTATCATATTAGGCTAGGTCAGCACAAAATAATCATTGGAAAATAAAATATGCCTCCACAGCCACTTTGGTAGCACTTATAGGAAAACTCACAAACTGATTGTTATAATGAATTTATTTTAAAAAGCTAAATTTACTTAGCTAGTTTCTGTGTTGACAGAGACTATGTTTAAGCAAAGATTGTTAATTTTCTTTCTAATAGGACAATGATATGTTGAGGGTATAAATGTGTCTCTGCTAATGAGATTACATTTAATAATCTTTTGAAGGACTAAGTTTTCATCAGATCTCTGAGAATCTCAGAGCACATGCATCCCATCCCTACTCCAGGCACTCTCTCTACCTTCAACATTGCTTATAGCTAATTTTGTATAAACTGAAGCCCACTTTGGCCACTTGCTTCCAAGGATGAAGAAACAAGTGGCTACTTGCGTGTGCAAAGATTCAAATATGGGTACAATTAGTTTCTGGGCATGAAATCGCATGCACATAAAAAGGAAGCCTGATTGGGCCTCTGAAAACTTGGCCCCAGTGGTTCATACTACTCTATATTTACACAGTCATAACTCTGCATTTTTGCATTGGTTAACAATTCCTTTTATTTATTGTGAGTTAAATACTGCTTGAAATAGGCATCTGTATAACATCTGCAAAGCTGGTGCTCTTGACATTTTAAATAATACCAGCTCTTTACTAAAATTGTCCAAAAAAGTACCATAAATTCTATGTTATATATTTGAACACTGAATGAATCAAAGCTGTGATTTCTGAAGTAAAGCATGACATATGTTTTAGGAAACAACATTCTGAGGAATGAAATTGTCTTTTGGGAGAAGTCATTTGATTTATAATTACAGCTCTATATTTAATGCAAGTTAGATTTCAGCCATTTCAGTGAATCAGACTGAATGATACAATGGAGGGAAAAATTTCAATTCTGATTTAGAGTCGAGGTGAGATATGAAGTTATGTAAATGTTAGCACTAATTCCTGACCCTATAATGTTATAATACAAAGCAATTTTATTTAAGAATAAAAAATACATCTGTATTTTCAATATTACTGTTATAGTATAAGTTATCATATTTCCTTGCTAAAAAAGGATAGGATAAAATTTTTTTCATTTACATATCATAAAATGCAATCTGAAATGTTTTCCCTAAAGTTTATTCTCATTCAATGACCACTGCAGAAATTTTTATTTTATCTAATTAGAATAATTATTTTTTCTTTTTTAAGCAACAGATTTAATTCTAGGTTGTCTCTTACAGTTAAATCATTTACTAAAAAGTAAAAATAAATTTAAGAATAAAAAACACATTCAAAAGTTTAATGACTGATGTTACTGAAAGCGATATCTTGCAATCAATATATAGGCAAAGTGAAAAAAAATCCAGTTTTGCCAAATAACTGTAATGTGCTTTTACAATAAGATTTTCAAACCAATCTATCTTTAGCCATTAAAACTAAATCCAGAGCTCCTAAATAAACTTTCTCCCAATTTTATCTACTAAAACAGTTTCTTTCAATAGAAAGGAATCCTGCTACTAAGGAAGGAAATCATCTCTGGCAGCAAATAATACATTCTTGCAACTGCTATCCTGACCTCACTGGTTAGTTTTTGAGTCTTTGGGCCTTCCGGAGCTTAGGGATGGAGCAGTTGGTTGTTGTGATTGTGCCCTGGTTGCTCATGATCTTCTGTGGATGGGAGGAAGGTTTGGATCTTGGTTTTAGGTCAGCAGTCACTTTAAAATCACATATAATATATTGGAAGATGGATAAGGGACAGTCTCTTCTCTGGAGAAGCCTATAATCTAGGAAAGCCATCAGTAAAAATATATTGCTCATGCACCCTTGATGTATTAATGAGTATACTACAATATATATGTACAGATATTCCTCTATTTTATCCATTATAAAACATACAAAGAAAAAAGATCAGGTAAAATATAAATGCACATATATTTTAATCTTTACTGGCTTCACCCTATGAATGGCCCTGTGCCACTGCCTCATTTTCCTGGGGAAAATCATTTCATTTTGGAGACTAAGTGAGAAACATGTAAATACTTAACAGAATGTGGTAAGTGCTATTGTAAAGGTGTGCCCAGGATGAACTGGGAAGAAGCTAAGCTGGGAATCTGGTGGTGAAAAAAAGGCTTCCTGGAGAGGACTTCCATCATTAGAAGTTGGGCAAAGATGGGAAGAGGACTTGTAGGTATAGGGAACAGTGTGGACAAAAACCTGGAGTTCTAATGAGGCATTATCAACATAAAGAGAAGCAAAGGGTCTGGGAGGAAGCTGGAAATATAGAAACAGGTCAGATTATGGAGGCTTAAAATTGTCAGGCTAAGGAGCATGGACTTGATTTGTGAGTCAGTTTGGGGCCTTCTCTAAGGGGGCCTAGCTCCTCAAGTACCAGAAGGCCACTGTTCTATGACAGGCTCACCTGCAATGTCCAGGCACAAAGCCCAACATAAATTAGTGTACATTTAGTGAACACAACAAGCTGCCACTTCTTGAAGAATCCAAGTAATGTACCTTGGCCTTTTTGTTGAAGAACTTTTGCCTTGGTGCAGTAGGAGGAATAGAATTGTTTTATGATTTCTCATAAATTGTCATCTGATAAAAAATATTTAATTGGACATATCAGTGTCTCCTTTGTATGGAAGAGCATATATCTCATTTAGCAGAGAATCACAAATCACACCACCTGACACACCATAATGGGTAAATCCCTCTCTATTCCCTGACTGTAATTTATTATTTAGAACACATGTTCAAGAATGGGGACATGCCCACATTTGTTAACTCTGCGTGCCAAATTGCAATTTGTCCTGCCCATTTGGGAAACTCATTTCCCATTCGAGCTGTGGTGTGAAGTTCACGGCAAGGGTAGAAAAGCTCCTGAGTGTTTTTTCAGACTTTTTAGATGAAGGGAGACTTAGGGTCAGGAGGACAGAGCAGTAACCAGGGAAGCACGGAGAAGATGCTCTCTGTTCCTCTAATGGTTTTCAAGGCATTTTTAGCTCCAACTTTGGCTTGAGCCCACCATCTCCACTGAAAGAAGATTGCTGAGGAAGGAGAGAAATAGGGGATGTTGAGCATGGAACCAAAGAAGTATCTCATTCCAGATCTGCCCAGTGCTTAGGCAGGATTTAACACAGTAATTAAATTTGATGTCACAATTTTCCTGCCTCTATAAATGGCCAATATATGAGGGACACTAGTGATCATGGCCCCCAATATTTTTTTTTTCATGAAAAGGAATAATTTAAAACTGAACTTGTATACTTTGCAGTTCTTTGGTTCATACCAGCTATTTATTATCTAACTACTATGTACAAATTATGTTGCCAAGTGAATTAGTATAATGCAAGCAAGTCAGGCTCTCTGCCCTCATGAAGCTGACATCCTGGGGAAACTGACATTAAGCAATTAATTAGATACTTAGTCATGTAAATAATTGTGGTAACTGCTATGGAAGAAAAGTACTGAGTGCTGTGAACTATATAATAAGGAAGGCTCTCTAGCAAAAGTAATGTTTGAGCTAAGATTTGTAGATGAATATGGATTAACTAGGCATAGAGGGGAGAAGAAAAGAACTAATTAATCCAAGTATGTCAAATATTAAAATAATGCACTTACATTAATTATATGTTTATAGTTCATAGTCAATAAAAATTAACACCCTTGTTTATTTTTTTGTAAAAGGATAGTTTAAATAAGCATATGCTTATCTATACTAAAGTATTCCTTTTTTAGAGAAGGGATATCCAATGTGATAGTCACCTTTCATGTCCCCAGATGGACATCTTTTTAGTTCAGACTGTAAAATTGCTTCAATGTAGTCGGAAGAAATAGGCTGTAGCCCACAGGTTTCCTCTGGGTGAATCAGCAAACCACAATCCTGCAATAAATAATAGATATTAGTTGTCATATTAATTAACCTGACCCATAATAAAATCCAAAAAAATAAGATTTTCTGTGCCAAATAACCTTTATGGATAAAAGAGAGGAAATATTCTTTATCTTTCTCATGCTGACTTATCAAAACTGTTGTTGTTTGTGCTAAAAAGTAGATCACAATTTAATCTTTATTTTGACATTGATATTTATGTCATTGTTCTGCCAATCAATAAATGAATACAAGTTTTAATTTAAAAATGTATCTCTGACACAAGAGCAAAAAAACAAACACCACGTGTTCTCACTTATAAATGGGTGTTGAATAATGAGAACACATGGAAACAGGGAGGGGAACATCACACACTGGGGCCTGTTGGGGGATGAGGGGCTAGGGAAGGGATAGCAGGGGGTGAGGAGATTGGGGAGGGATAACATTAGGAGAAATATCTAATGTAGATGACGGGGGGATGGATGCAGCAAACCACCATGGCACGTGTATACCTATGTAACAAACCTGCATGATCTGCACATGTACCCCAGAACTTGAAGTATAATAATAACAAATTATATCTATCTATCTATCTATATATATATATATAAATATATATATATATATATATATCAATGTCAACTCATTAAAAACAAAACAAACTGTAATAGAGGACAATATAGCAAGTGGAAAAAGACAGCTAATGTGAGAAGGGAAATAGGAACTCTTTGGAGAGAATTTAACAGATGAATTTCATTTTAACAAACTTTTATTAAGAATTCATGATATGCCAGAAGTGAAATCAGAGGCATGTATTTTATTCAAAGCACATTCTTATATTTACAACATTGGGTAACATTTCATTGCACTGAATATCATTATAGAGGCATGTACTATACTAAGCAATGCTTTCAATAGTCTGACAGATGTAGTACAGAAGCATAGTGTATTGCCTCCCTGAAACTTCTCTTTTTCTCCTTCCTCTGCCCCATCCATGGAGCTGCACCTACAGGCTGGACCACTCTCATCCTCTCTTAGCTTGTTCCGCAAAGCTATTGGCCCAGTACCTGTCCTATTTCCTTCTATCCTTCCTCACCTGGTTCCGCTGCCACTCTTCTCAGTGGGTTCTCTCAGACTATCACAATTTAGGACATGGTAAAATCCTATCGTCTCTGTTGGGATTTCTTTCCCCCTAATTTTGCATGAAGACATCTTCTTATATTTTAGGTCTCAGCAAGGTCAATCTTCCTGAAACTCCAGCACGATTTTGTCTCCCTACTTTTGTTCATGTCAGTACCCCATTTGTTTCCTTTATGCTCTTCAGCGTTTGATAATTGTTTGTTTGTTTGTTATTTGTAGGGGTTTCTTCTACTAGTCTGAATGTGCCATGGGAACAAATAATTATTTCACTCACATATAGAATCAGTACTTACTATACAGCAAGCAATAAACATTTGCTGAATAAAAAGTTCGACTATATTGTGTCCCTTTTTATATTAGAAATTCTCAACAATGGAGAGAAACAGTGAGTTTGATCTGTTCCTTGCTGTGTAACTCTGCATCTAATCAGCAACTTATGGTTACATTCTCTCATATCCTCTGCTATCCTAACCTCAGATTCCTAGATCTCATACAAAATGTCCAGGATATTAAGGAGCAAGAGGGATGGCGGTGGTGAGTGAACTTAAAATCTTGATTTGTATACTTATTTTAATTTCTTAATTCATGACTGAATGTGGAGTTTAAGATACTGATTAAAATTAGAAATATGATTTGCATTAAAATGCTCATTATAATAAAGCAATAAAAATACAAAGTTTATTATAATGTGGGGAGATCTAGTCTGAATAAACATCTATGAGTGATACTTGTCAGTATACACGTGTATGGGTGTGATATCTATCCAACCAGTTATTTTTGGTGGAGACTGGATCTTTTATAAGGCCAGAAAAAAGTGTCACGATTCATCTTGCAAAAATATGTTTATATCACATGTTAGAGAGAACAATGAGAAACAATTAACATTATACACTGCTGATGGGAGTGCAAATTAGTTCAGTTGCTTTGGAAGGCAGTTTATAATAAAATAAAAAGTGCAGAGGCTCTGCAACCCTGGAGCCAGATTTCTCTGAGTCTACTCTAGAAAAATATAAGGACATATGGGTAAGAAAGTATCCAAAAGTTACAGAACAACTCAAGCAATCTGAAACACACACATGTACATGTATGTTCACTCAATCAAAAACATACTAAATGCTGATTTTGTGGGAACAGGTATGTCTCTGTTAAGAGAATAAAAGGAAATCTGGATGATGGTTGTTACCAGTAGAATGTCTTCCTGGATTGAGTGGATGTCAAGGAGGCTTTAGCTCTATCTAGAATGCTTTACTTTTTATTTAGAGAGAATGTCATTTTTATTTAGTTTGAAATGTTAGTAACAACTGTCACCACCTCAGCTGGAGACTTGGCTGTTCCTTCATTCTAGGAGGTACAGTGTTAGATGTTACTTTTAAATGCAAAGTATTTATCTGCCTATAGCTTTATATGCTATAACGTCATCTAAACTTAGGCACTTCAGGCTGAGATATTGTGTTCAATTTATTGATAAAAGTATATATACCCATGCAAATAATGTTGAAACATTTTTTAAAGTTTGGATTTAGATTAAACTTTGCCTGAAAATTCTTGTTCGAGATTTCTGTGGGGTGTGTGTGTGTGTGTGTGTGTGTGGTCATGTGCCACTACTCATCCAGAGGGCATGAGAAACAGAGTCTAGATCACAGATGCCAAAGTCCTAACTAGTGTCTTCTGTTGAAGCTCTACATGTAATTGGCAAGTATCTATCAATCAGAAAGATGTATTGCTTCTTGTGTGCTGAGGACTTGTCCTGGGCAGGTGACCACTCCTGCTACCTAGAACCTCATGTTGAAATTTCAAGTCATACCCTTTTCTCTGCAGTTTAGTCCAAAGAGTATTCTATGACATTCTGTGCTTCCTACTCAATTTCCCCTTAGTGTTAATCTTGGTTTGTAGTTTACATATCCTAAGCCTTTCCATTAAAGTGTTCACTACTTTGGAGAGCCAGGGCAGCCCACTGGAGTGAAGGTTAATCATCTTCTGAGCTGTGGCCAAACAATGTTACCCTGAAAGTTGAATAAAACAAACCATAAGATCAAATGCAGACTCCAGTCCAGAGACTGGTTTACAGAGCTGAGGGAGTTAAGAGAAGAAAAGGTGGTATCAATACAGCAGGGTAGGCTTAGTGTACATTCTATGGAATAAGATAAGGGTGAGATATGTAGAAAAGAGCATTACTGTGCTGGGAGTTTCACTTGTGAATTTTAGTTCTAGCTGTGTCATGAACTGGCTGTGTGACACTGAGTAAGTCCCTTGATCTAGATTACTCATTACAAAATGGTGAAGGCTGCAGAAAGAAGGCAAAGAATTGCATTAGGTGAGCTCAAGTCTAGACACCGATTGCCTTAGGTGCCTACACCTCATCCATTCTCCTTTCTTCCTTTTAGCAGAAAAAACCTTTTTTGTTGGAATAATGTGCCCAGTATTAAAACAACAACAATTTCCCAGTCTCTCTAGTTAAAAGAAGTCAGGAGACATAGCTCTAGCCAAAGAAATGTAAGTGAACACCAGCTAGGGAGTTCTGGAAAATTTTTGCTTTCCCGATGCCACTTTTTCTTTATCACTCTGTTTCCTCTTTCTGCTTGGAATATGAATGTGAGCAGCCGTCTTGTGACCACAAGGCAACCATGGGCAGAAAAACTAGAATGAGACTAGGACATAGGTGATGCTGTGGGGCTACCTCCACCCTTTTTCCTATGAAAGAAAACCAAACTCCTACTTGGTCAAGCCACTAGAGAAATGTAAGATGCAGCCAAACTTCTCTATTCCTCAAAGAGGCTATGAAACTTATAATTTAAAGGCCACATGAATCCTTTTGAGTATTTCTTTAGATCTTAAAAGTGATTAATCACAGTAATAACATTTTAAAAAGTCTTAAAAGGAAAATTCTCATTAGTGTCTCTCATTTCTTTCTTCACTGGGATGATTAGCAATTTGGTCAGGTTTAGGCATATTGAATACATTAGTTATTAAAAACAAAGAACTTTTTTTTTTTGAGACGGAGTATTGCTCTGTCGTCCAGGCTGGAGTGCAGTGGCGCCATCATGGCTCACTGCAGTCTCGAACTGCCAGGCTCAAGCAGTCCTCCCATCTCAGCTTCCCAAGTAGCTGGGACTATAGGCACTTGCCACTGTGCCCGGCTAACGGCTCTTTTTTGGTTCTAAATGTCATCTCTTGGAGCCGCAGATCTACAGACACAGAAAATGTAGTATTTAGCAGAGTTGCTTAAAACAGTATTAGCTCCAGAAATCTTCACACACTGAGAGTGAATCATTTTGTTGGAGACTTCAAAAGGAAGCTTCAAACTCCAGCGTAGATTGTCATAGTTCTCAATTAAATGCAACAATGTACTTAACAGGAATTTTCTTGTTCATACGTGTGGAAAGTAAATAGGTTTAGTACATAATTTAAAACATATACTAAACTTTTCGTAAGTTGCTAGAATGACTAATAGAAATCATTATGATGCTTTTGGTTTTTCCTCCTGCCTGATCAGTTTCTCATTATTAATTCCCCTGGACGCCCATTTCATTCCTTTCAGAATTGTTTGTCCACAAAAGAATGAGTAATATTTCTCATATTAAATGTGATATTGGTATATTTTTAAGCAATACCAAATTGGACAATTGGAGCTGATCAGTGTCTTAAATCTTACCCGCTTTTATTGACCCCATGGATTATGCCTCTAATATGAAAAAATTCTTTCCTTCTCTGGCTAAACAATTTTAAATGCCCACCAATTTTAAAATTTAAAATATACACATACTCCCTCCAGCACCCAGCTCCTTCCAAAGAGATCCATTTCCTCCCTTTTCCCTGGGCTGCTGCCATTTCCAGTAAGTTAGTAATGATCTCCCAAAATGTGATGATTCTGG